CAATCACAAGACTTCCGTTTCAGGTTGACAATACTTTCATTTGCTTTTGTCCAAGTCCAGGCAAAAAGAATACACACACACCCAAAGGTTTAGTTTTTGTGAACTGACATATTAAGTTTCATCTAATCTTCCTATTTCTCAATTTATCTTGAAGTCTACTGCTACTTTTGTCTAGCCAGCATTGATATTTCATTCCACACAGACAATAATTTTCTGAGGTAAAGCACAAAAATTCTTTAAAGTGACTAGGGTAAATTTTACTTTAAAAACAGCTTTTGATATTGGAAAAGTAGCTCCAAGAACATAGGACTGTAAGTATTCAGCCTTAAACAACTGAAGACACATGAAATGAGTTCCTTCACTATATTTTCTTTGTAAATAAATTCTGCAGTCATCTTAACTTCCAAGATTATTAACACAATACAAGTCCATGGTAAAATTAATCTGAAAGACTTAAGAGCTAAATTGAGCAAATAAATTGAGTAAATTGAGCAAATTCGGATACATAACTATGTGCTTAGATTCTGCTTATCATACATGATGAGATTTTCACAATTCTTTTATTCTTTAAACATTTTTTGTATAGTCAGGCTGTGATGTATAAGAATCTTTACACTCAATGCACCTTGGTCTGATAAGACAGTTTCATCAACTGTACTTCCAGTAGATGATTGTTACTCAGCTGAAAAAAAAAACAACCCAAACTGTGAAAATAAACCCAGAGTGAGAGCAAGAAGTAACAGATTTAGCTGTAGCTGAATCATGGAGGTTTCACTTTTACTTGCTTCCTGTGAGTCAGATATTCCAGTGAAACTTCTTAAGAGGAGGAGTTCTATTTCTGCATGGTGACTGGGCTAGTAACACAGACCCACTGTTTGCAATATTAATGCTGCTTTTCGAAATGAGAGACAACAGACGACTGTGGCATGATTAGGTTTGCCTACAGAGCTGGCACCAAAGAAGGAATAGATCTGCAGCCTCATACAGAGCATGAGTTACAGTGTGAATCTTTAAAACAGGATCATAATTTTACATACAGTCTGGACACACCAGCTGTTTCCAGTTCTAATTACTATCATACAGTAGTATTTCAGAGTGTGTCCCTGGTCTCTTAACTAACATTGTCCGTACAAGTAAACTTTGCAAACAGAAAGTTTATCACATTCTCTAACCAATTCCCACAATACCGACTCTTTCAAATGGCCCCAGCAACGTATAGAAAAGACTGACGCAGAAACAAACTGAGATGCAGAACCCAGAACAAAGTGTAGAGCAAGAGAGTACTGGAACATTTTCCTCACTTGCCTTCACAGAGTTCTCTCTCTGCCAGGAATGCAGAGCATTTTTTAAAATATTTAAAAAGTAAAATTAAATTAAATTATTTTTTAAAAGTAGTAATAAATACATAAACAAGTAGAACTAATATAAAGAATAAAAGTAAGGTAAGACAAAAGCACACTGAATGGTGCATAAAAAAGAAACAGCAGCAAGCAAAAATTACATCCTGTAAGAGAAGGTGAGATTTGAAGATAAAGTCAAGGTCGCGAGTATTATGTTTTTATTGTATTAACTTGTATTAAACTCTGTTCTTTTATTGAAAGTATGAAACTCCACAGGATTCTGAATCCTGGGGTGCAATAATTGTTAGCCTATGCAACTGCAGCACCTCACAGTTGTTCTCAATTCTCCTCTCATCCTTGATGGTTACAGCTACCTGTTGCCACTTGCCTTTGCTTATGAGTAGTAATTAGAACAATGAAGTAGAGGGGCCCAGTCTCAACAGGTACTCATCTATACAAACAGCAATCAGAAAAGACACAGAAGAGGTGGCCAACTGGCCAACAAATTTGGGCACCTGCAGGCTGCTTTCTAGGCTCACTTGCAGGCAGTATGATTCTTGATGGCTTCAACCTTCTGCTTGGATCTGCATACTACAAGGTAAGAAAAAGGGATGTGACAAACCATCCCAAAAATAATTCCAAAATGGATGAAGCCACAGACATAGCAATTCAAGCCCAAACTCTGCCTTCCTGATTTTTCTGACTGTTACCGACACTTCAAAGTGGAACTCCAGCAACTCTGAGAAGAAAACAGCATAAGCCAAAGTATTTATCTATTCCCAACAGGAAAATTTCTAGAAATAAAGACTTTGAGACACCCAGGCCAGACAACTAATAAAACTGGTCACTGTGCTATCCAGTTACAGTAAGACATTCAGTAGGCAAGACATTTCAAAACTCAGAAGTAAATAAAGGTATTACTATGGATAGCAGTAAAGACTCAATAGGAAAATGCTATTCTACAGCTTAAGTTTCTGGGTACTGAGGATTTACAAGATAAACACAAGCAAGTCTTGTTCTTAGAGGGGGCATGTCTACGGCATGTTCTCCTTACAGATAAATGCTTGGTGGCCATGTGTATGCTGTCTGCATTCCTTTATTCAGAAGTGGTGGAGAGAAGAACATTAAGACCACATAAGTATCATCCTTTATCATTCATAACTAAAAGAGGAATTCAAGATAAAGTATCTACCTTAAATAAGAGAGATATTTACACTACAGAAAAATTCTGATCTGCTGCCAACCTAGATAGTTCATGTGCTTCAGAACTGTGGGTAAGTGTGGGATAGCTCACACATAGGAAATAATTTATAAATTAAATACAGGTATAAAGAAATTTTCAGATGCTAATGAAATAATATTTTAAGTTAATGTCAATTATATAACACACACATATACACTGAGAAAAATGCAAAACAAAAATACTGCTTATAGAGTCTTCTCCACAAGAACTGAGATGAAAAATCATATCACAGAAGCTTATGACAATACTTAATCATGTACCGAAGGCCTTCTTGAGATAAAAACAGTAAAAAATAGGGAAAAAAGACTTGTGTTTTGCATTGCAGTAAATAATTTACATGGAAAACATTAAAATAATCTCACTAAGCACTTCCTGTAAACACACAGGATCACCTTTCCAAAAGGTATATTTTTACACACATCTCAAAAGATGGACATTTCTGGCATTAGATTTATAACAAGTGTTTTATTTCCACACTAACTCTAACATACTCCATGCCTTTAAATTCAGGACATTCCGATAACTCTATGACACTTTTTTTTTAAACAGATGGTAAGACAGCTTCCAAGGCTAAGCCAAACTAAAGTTATTTGTTCAAGCACTTACAGTAGTTTACTTTCTGGCAAGTAGTGCATATGTAAAAATACACATTTTAAAGAAATACACACAATGACAAGGCTATACTTAGATTCTACACTTTATTGTATTGGACAGATACAAACTAATAAAAGGACAGGTGTTAATATCTGAAGAGTAATGGTAGCTTAAATCGTTGTTCCCTCAGTTGCTTTTATGTCTTTCCTATCAAAAACTTCCAGCTTCCACCTCTGTTAACAGCACAGCTTATGATGAATGCTCACTGACCTGGTTTAGAAAAAGTCAACTGAGACATCTTACATCATATGACTAGTCCAGATGATTTGGTCCAAGCAGATAAGGGAGCACTGACATGAATTCAAATGACAGACCTATGAGCACAATGGCATCTGGCAAATAACCAGATCAGCAGGTAGGCATGGTGAAATCATTCCAGCAAGTCTGGAAACAAAAATGCATGTTCTGGACTTAGCCTGGGCACCTAAAACATACCAGGTACACATTTGTTTGTTTAACAAACAGATTACACAACAAAATGGATGCTTCTATAGTAGCCCCTTCTTTTAAAGGTTTTGCAATTAAAAAGCAGATTATATTTCATACAGGGTTTGACATTGTTTGCATAACTTGTAAGAAATAAGCTGTCATCATAAATTATTTCCCTGATAAATATTTAATTAAAATACATTTGAGCAATTTGGTGTGAACAGATAAAATCAACAAAGTATTTTAAATATTTGCATTTTGCAACTTCCTCCTTTCACATAATCACTCATAAAATATTGCTCATTCAGAAATAGAATAATTTTAAAGAAAAAGGTAAACAATAAAAAGATTCAGCATCTTGCATATTTGCACGTCATTTATAATATTATTGCACCATAAGACCTTTTATTTAGAGTAAATTTAGTGCTAGCGACCGGTAACAATTTCACAATTGTGAAGAAAACTGAAGCTCACAGTCTCTTTGGAAAGGCCAAGGTTCAAACAGCATTTGCCTGACTAACCTGGAGGAATCCTTCTCTCATCGACAGATGTATTAACACTTTTTAAATCAGTGAAGTCATCCTGTACCTCATCACAGTGAGTCCTTCAGTCCACCGACTCTTACTGAAGCATCTTCAGCGACAAGGAAAGCATGACGTACTCTTTTCCTTTAAAACTTTGAGACCAACGAGTTTTTATGTCCACTAAGACGGCATATGTTCATAAGATGAAATCAAGCAAATCAGCTCTTCTTTGTTATCACAGAGGTTATCTGAGGTTCTTTGTTATCACAAAGGTAATATCACAACTAAATTTGGTGTTGAATTGTCCAGGGAAGGTGTCAGCCTGAGCTACTATGGCTACCAGGTCCAATACAACCCACATAGGAAAGCTCTCAGACCAGCTGTGGGAAGAGGGCCTTCAGTAAGCACCGTATGGCACCCTAGCTAATAATTACTGCTTTCTAGGGTGCTTGCCCTACAGGCTCGCTCAATGGCAGCTCTAACCTCTCTGTTCCGTTGAGCAGCAGAGAGAATTCATGAGGCTGTTCATGACTTCCACATATTCAACATAAACAAAGTCAAAGCACTAGTGAATTTTGATTCTTGGAAACAACTGGGAAAAAAGTATCATTCTCAAAAAACCCACAAAACTCAAACACCAAATTACCTCAGTGGTACCTGTTCTTCTAGCTCAAACATCACGTTCTTTTCACAGAGGCATGCAATGGCTCCAAAGTGATAGGCACCTGAATCCAGTGTATGACCAATAATAAATTAATTTGCAGTCATAAAACATTATGAAACACTTCATATAAAATATGTTGCACATAGTCATTTAAAAAACATTTCAATTGTATGCTTGGAATTGTTCAACTTGGCCCTTTTTGATACTGACTGTGAAGTTGTTAGTCCAGACCTAAAGTTAAAGAAAGAAAAAAAAAAACAAACAACAAACAGTAAGATGTTAAAACATACAATGCATACCTGCACGTTCACAGCACTGAATATTTTTCTACACTTTGTTTTAAAATGAGTTGTGTACTTAAGTTTCCAGAAAACCCTTACCTTTTTGTTCCTTGTGATGGGTTTGTGCATTGCTGCCCTCTGCTTGTACCTCCTGAAAAGTAATTGGAAACAACCAAAATCAATTACTTCAATAAAGAATGTTTCAGAACTTGACGAACATGGCAGAATTTTTAAGGGAACAGTTTTGAGTAGAACTTTTTTTTTTTATTAACATAACTGAATTTAATCTATCTCAAGGAGCAGATAACATTTTATTATCTGCAGTCTGAGTACTGTAGCTTATATTAACACTTTTAAAAGAGAAACTCGAAAAATCTTTAGTTGATTGAACTCTAAGGGATTAATTTGAACCTTGTAGTTTTCAGAAATATTTCAGCATAATGTAGTTGATTTTCAAAGTGGTTGCTGAAAACTAGTTTTTAATTTTTTTTTATCCTGCAGGGGAAGGACAGAATCTTTGCTGACAGTAAGGTTTTAATTTAAAACAAAGCCTGTTTGCACATGTAACAACAATACTGCTTATGAAATTTTCTATGTAAAAGATTAATATTTTAAGTCTTAATTGTGTTCTGATAATTCTAACACACTAGTATTTTAATTTCCTCTTATAAAGCCCTCAAATTAGATTAGGAAAAAGGTACTTTAAGCAGATACTTAACTACCTGAGCATGTCCTCTAATCTAGCCAAAGATTAACTCTTCATCAAAAAAAGAAACAACTGAGTAAATATGCTACTGATTTGGCATGTTACAGTTACAGTTATGTGCTGCAATTTATTAGCTGTAAAACGGTCTTGCAAGTTCCTCCCTTTATGCTTCAGTTCACCACCTCTCTGCTTTTGCCAGCACATTACATAGTGGAATGTTTCTTTCAAATCTCTGAAACAATCCAAGTTGAAGATGTCTTACAAACACCTTTCTGAACATAGTTGGGTGGTAGCAAACATGCAATTTATAGAAATGTGCACTAATTCCTATGTCACCAATGTAGCAAATGAGGATACACTGTGTAGTGAAAATCACATTTATAAATCTATAGTTTGTCATGAAAACGGATTTGATACTTTTAATATAAAAATGTTCACTCTTACACAGGCCCTACTCAAATGAACTTGTTCCAAAAATCTTAGAGCAATGAAAAGTTTGAAGTACACTATTACGAAATTATTTTAACTGTACAAACAGATAATTTGAATAATCAAATACATCCTAATGTGCATACTCACCAACTCTGTTTGAGTTTACCATATTACAAGTCTTAGTAGGAGAATCTTTTTTTTCTGTCAGCTCCAGGACAAGGCCTTTATTTAAGCAGACATCCACATGTCTGTTAAATGACACAAGACTAGTGGTTTTCTGTTCTGAATTACAAACTGGGCAAACAAGAACACTGTCTTCTTTGGCTTCAAAGAAACACGATGAACTAGTTTCTCCTGTATGTTTGGTCTTTTCAAAATGGTCTTCATTGTCTCGTGAAATTCTTTTGGGGACAAGACACTGTTTCATACACACATTTCTAGCAGTATCACTGAGATTGCTAGGCTGTGTTTCTCTGTGAGATTTATCAGACATTACCCGAGTGAACTTTTCTGTGCTATTGCTAGTAGAGTTGTGAGATGTACTTGCAGACTGGTCTGTTCCTGCTAATTGGTCTATTTTATTTTTTTTAAATTCATCAATATTTTCATTTTTAAACTGTGGAAGAAAGTTAAGGGTATTTTCTCTTGAACTGCCATTCTTGGATATTTCCATGGTATCTTTAACAACAGTCCCATTGAGGCACTCATCAATATGCCTATTAAGCTCCTCCAAATTATTGCTGCTTTGTTCCTCAAAGCAAACAGGGCAGGTGAAGATCTTACATATATTAGAATTCTGTAAGTCTGTGACTTTCTTTGTTTCTTCCACAAAACTTGCTGATGATTTCCAAACATGAAAGAGCTGCTTGCGTTCAGTTTCATTTGGAGAAAGATTCTCATTGTTTAGTTGCCTCGCAGCTTGCTTTTTATCAAAAAAACTCCCTCTGGAAGATGCTTCTGAATTTTTTGTGAAATGTTCTTGGTTGGACTTTCCTGCCTGAAACCTAAGAAAACCAATTTCTTTTCCTGATTTTAAGAAACTCGTAATACTTTTTTGTTGGTACTTCTTCTCTTCTTCACTTAGAAATCCTGATACTCGTACACCTAATGATGAAAAACAAACCTATAACACCAATTTTATGAAAACTTGATACTAATTCTTAATTAACATCTTTTGAGGTATATATTCACTCAATAAAACTGCACTTTATCTCTAAGTGGAAGCTATACTACTTGCAACTGCTAAAAATGGATCACAAGGTTCATACAATTTTATCACACCTGAACACTTGCCCAATCCTATTATTAATTGTAACACTCATGAAGTTTGAACTGATTGCATCTTAACATGAGGCTATAAACTTAATACAGTAATATAGAGTTCAGTCTGAAAAAGAGTCTTGCATAATGTTTCCCCATCAAAATATTTTTGTCAGCACATTCTAATGTCATACACAAATAAGTTTCATATATCACTGAATATATATAAGCAGAATGTATAGGCACCTGAAACACATAGGTCTTAGAACCAAAGTAAAGCTTACTTATGAGAGAATTTTTCAGATTTCTTGCAGAACATATAATCTTCAAATCTATAAGCACTTACTTAAAGCATATGTTTCTACAAGAGGTTATGTACAGAAACCACCTGCTGGTGTGGTGCAAAACAGATTTAAAAGCTCTTTTAAGGCAGCAGAATTAAACACTGCTATGCATTAAGATTCTACTCTCATGCCAATGTGTATGTTGTCCCAGGGCTAGCAGGTGGTAGGAAAAGTACAATCTCAATTAGTAAAATATTCCTGAGTCACCATTCAGCCCTCCAGACCTGTTTCACTTAGCAAAAACTACCAGAGTAACGGAGAAAAGATAAATCTACTTACACCAATTTTACGATAAAGAGTATCGTCTATTACTTTGATATACTATAAGATCTAACTCTGAAAAGGAAGAATAAGTTTGAAATATTTTACCCATAAGTCTTATCCGTAAAGGGTGAGGAGCAACACTATCAATTTCTGTTCCTAATAGTTCTTTAGCAACAGCAAATATTTCCTCCTCAGTAGAAACAGAAAACAGCACAGTTGAAGCTCTTGTTTTTACTTCAAAGTTCACATTCTTTAGCTTCAGCGTAACAGTTTTACCCTAGGCAAAAAAACCAAAACAAAACAAAAAAATAAAGAAAGATGTTAAGGATGTTGTATATGACACAGAACCAAATATTATGTACCATTTATTTAAGGGCCTCAAAGTCACAGTCAAGACTGTGTGCTTATCTGTGTACAGCAACGAGCACTGCCAAGAACTAGTCTTTCGATGCCAGGTAACTTTGCTGGGAAAACTGCTATGGTTGCATAAGTGATACCCAATTAAGGGTTTGCTGAGAAGTTTCTTCCTTCTGCACAGTGCTATCAGAGCCACACACAGCATCTGTTTGGCACAGATACTTCCCTGGCAACACCTTCCAAAACCACCTGTGTGATTTAACGTGTCTATCCAAATGTAAATAAATGGTACTCCTTCTGTTCTGGTGCCTTTGTAAGCTTATCTCTGATTTAAGCTTATCCTTTCAACCTGCCATTTCTGAGACAATCTTTTATGGCTGAAGAAGACCAATCCCAACTCTTTTGAATTGTCTTGAATGCTATTTCTTGCTTTACTATAAAGATCTCCACAGAAAATACGAACTGTTCTTCCTAGATAAAAACCCAGAAATTTGGGGAGAAGGAATACACCAACTGTTCCTACCATTCATACCATGGTATAAATAATTTGCCAGCAAGTTTGGGACATGTGAACTTCCTAAACTACATTACTGGCTATTGACTGGATCCTGTATGAATATGGGAGAGAAACACAGTGTTTCACATATATTAGTATTACATGATTAACCAAAGCACAGTTTACAATCAGCTCTATTATTTGCTTTTAGCATAAAGTGTTTAAATGCCAAATAACTTAATTATTTTAACTTTTTCCACATGTATTATTAGATAACCACCTGAACAATACCAAAATACAGCCTAAATAATTTTAAACAACTGCAAATTAAAGAATGGAGACTTATGAAGATGGATTGCATGGTATGATGCTGCTGAAAACATTTACACTAAGGTTGCATTTAATAACTTCAAGTGCAAAGCATTGTCTTTGAGCAAGTAAGCAAAGAATAGTAAAAATACCTTAAGTCCCTCTCTCTGTAGGTCTTGAGCAAGGTCTCTGCACAGTTCTCGACACAAGCTGTACTGGTCTTCTGTGGTGTTTACTTCACTGATTGTTCTAAGATAAAGATATGATCTTTCTTCAGAATGAATCCTAAAATTTGTTCAGTGGCTACCATCCAGAAGTATTTTTTTTGTACAGTTAAACAAAACTACACCAGAAGAAGGCTGTTTGGTTTGCACATTTACTTCAAGGAAAAATGAATACTAGTATGAGTATTACACAGAAAGATTCGTACACATTTATGTCTTTCAAAATGTTTGCAAAGCTCTTCAAATAATGAAATAATTTGGCTTTCAATTTTTCATGCACTATTTGAAAATGTATCAGATTTAAGGTCATTAATGCTTAAATATTTGCAAAAAAGAATACTAGCACCAACTGAATTAATGGAGCCAGCCAAGTTATTTGTATTTAATCTCCTTTGTACAGTGCTGTGTAACATGAGAAGAAAGAAAGGATTAGAAAGTCAACATCAGAGCCAAGTATCAGAAATAAATAATGCCGATGCTAAGAAAAAGATGCCAGCTAGGATAATTATGTCTAGCCTCAGAGAAGGAAAAACTATCTTTCTGCCAAAAATGTCACTAACTGTCCTTACTAGAGCTTCTTAGCAGGGAAAGTACAGTTTGGGTTTGGTTTTTTTGTTGTTGTGCATCTGCTTTTTAGTAGTAATATGAGAGAAAAGGCAACTTTCAGTTAGTAGTGGTTTTAAGAGGAAGCAACTTTACAGCCACCAGATGCTTTTGTAAGGGTCTCACAGATCCATTGTTTCATGCCAGGCTTTATATTTATGGGTGTAAAGTCCATATAGTTACATTGGATTTCACATCTCTAAGTTATACTTAGGTTTACCTGATCATATTGAAAAGTCATCCTCTATTAAGATTCACATTTTGCTAAGAATGTTTGCATGTTGCCAAACTAATGGGATGAATGTTTTACCATGTGTCCCATGCCGTTATCCAAGGAGTAACTAAATCATGTTATCCTGGCAACGTTGTAGTGATTTACAGCATTGTGATGCTGCACTAATCGGGAAGCTGTTAAAGTCTTAAGTTCAGAAGAGGCAGGATAGAGAGAACACTATTTCAGGCCCATCTCTTCTTCCCCAAAGAAATTAGTTTCATTATTTCATTAGGCCATCAATGTGTCTGTCTAAAATCATTTCCCTGAGAGAAAAAAGAAGGAAGAAAGAAAAGCAGAAAGGTACAAGAGGCTACTCAGATTATCTGTCTGCCTGCAAACCAACACAAGACTACAGCCATAAACTTCTCAGCTGTGGTGGTACCAAACCTTATGGGGCTTACTGTTATGGTATAAGGGTTACCGGCCTGAAAAGGAAGGACAGGTGGTGTCTGTAGGACCCTGGAGGGTCAGAGATCTGTACTGTTCCCTCCCCTTTCCAGCCACAGTCTATAAAAAACTGAGGTTTTCGCGGGCTTTTCCTGGTTTCCTGGGCTGTTTCCTGTCGCGTCTCGGGACGGCTGGGGCTACCTCCACGTGCTCGGCAGCATCCACCTCCATCCGCTCCCAGCACCACTGCGGTCCCTGGTGACGAGTCACAGTGGTCACAGCGGCCACGAGGCACTGCTCGGACACTTCCACTCGGGACTACTGGGATCGGGTTTTGTATATTGTTAAAGATCCTTTGTCCTTATTAATTCCTTTTTCCTTTCCCCTGTTGTTTTCATTAAACTTGTTACAGTCTTAACTTCCAACCTTGTGCGAAGCATTTTTTTTTTTATTCTCTCTCTATTCTCCTTTCTTAATCTTCCCCCTGGGAGGGGCAGGGGCAATAGAGAGAAAATCTTGCTCTCTCTCTCTCTGGCCCTTAAACAGAGACATTTACTTAAGCTGCTCACAACTACTACATCTCAACAGCAGCAAGCATATTTTCCTGTCTTGTTTTCTAAGAAGGGAAAACACAGGGATAATTATCTCGTTGCTCTACAGATTCTCCTGGCAGTATTTCCTACATAAAATGAACTTTTAGAAATGACATACACCACTTTCTTAAGGAACTTTACACTGCTAAAAACCAAAAAGCTAGGAAATATAAACAATTTCAGTTATCCATGCAAATTTACTGTCTGCTTTCAAGTCTACCTCAGCAAGTGTCTACTTGCTATGCATATGACTGCAGGCTACTAGACTGATACTGACATTAAACTGGAACATATAAAAAAATTCAAGTTCTTATATATTTCTACCTTATGTTATGGCTTAAAGACCATTTTGATGCATTAAAGGAATTAGGAGAATCAGATGATGAGAAAAAAGAACACACAAATGGACAGAAGTACCTTCATAGTATTCTGAAGCCAAGGCATAAAAAATTAATGAAAGCTTCAATTTCACTTAGTGAGCTTGTTGTATATGTGGGGTTTTTAACACATAAATACACAATGAAATTGTATGAATAAGAAAAGTATACACTACTTGGCATTATGTAGGTTTAGTATTAATGCAATTTTTTCAGTATTAAAGAGGCATACCTTTCAGTGCTCATACTTTTTCTTTCTCCATCCCTTTAAAAAGAAAAAAACAAAACAATTTATTATACACAATTTATCTAGAACTGTTATATTTCCAATAAACTCTGAGTCAACCAATCATGCTTCAATAACTAGCAACAGTTTCTTCTATAAAATCTGGATGTTAACTTTTTCTACAAACCTTGTACATCAAGTTTAAGTGAGTGCAAAATGAATAATTTAAAAAAAACCATGAACTACTGCACATGAAGTAAAGACATAGATCAGCTACAGATGTCAATAAAAATAATTTCGTAGAAAAAGAAAAAAAAATAAAAAAAGCCTCAACAAAACTCCCCTCTCATACCAGGAGTCTTCAAAACTAACTATAAATCCTATGCTGTCTGACCTAACTATAACTGTGAAGCACTGCTATTAAAATCCTGAACATACTATGTGTATTTGAATATTTGTTTATCTGAGGAACTAGTTTGCTTCCTTTATAAATTATTGCTCGCGTTAAAAGGTGATGTGTTAAGGCTTTTTTAATTTGTTTGGGTTTTTTTTTCTAATTTCCAGATTTAATTGAGCATCCTTTAACAACTGTTCTGCACACAAGAAGTTCCTCAGAGCATTTTCTGTTTAGGTCCTTCTTATGTTTCTAAGTATGGGAAATAACAAATCTGGTATCCTCAAATTTTCCTAAAAGAAGCTGGTCAAAGACAATGACCATAAGATGAACATTTATTGAGGACTCGGGTGTTGGTATGTTTAGGGCTTACCTTCTCCACACTAAAAATCACTAAAATTAAGTCGGTACTAATAAAAACAAAACCATGAAATAAATTTCTTAGCACCATGAAAAATGCGTTACCCATTGCAATGATAATCTTGGCTTTTGAAATGCTCCTATTTTTTAAAAAATGTACTGGGAGATTTCCCAGACTGTACAACACCTAAACAGGGTGAATAAGGGGAGAGAGTGCACCAGTTATTAAAGGAACATTTGAGATTACATTTTCTTTACTGAAACAAACGTTTGGAAAACAACTTATCTTCTGTCAAGTCACCTTCACAAAGTCAATCTTACTACATATTTTGTTTCAAGTCAACATACTTCTGAAAATTAAAAAAAAACTGACACAAAGATTTGTGCTAGCACATTACTAGTCTACAAACTGGTAACTGTACATATTATTTTGTCGTCAAATGGAAAAAGTGAAAGATCTGTCAGAGAAGTAACAGAAATAATACATAACAGGTCTTCCAGAAGTACAGAAGACACTTTGGAACTCCTAATGAAACCGAATCATTGCCAAGTCATTTTCAAGTAGAATTTCACCACTTTGAAAAGGATAGAAGGATATTTAAGGAAGGAATACTGAAAATAAAGTACTCAATCCTAAATTAAGATTCTTCATTACACAAACGGCAAAATACTGTGGGTTTTTCTAAGAGGAAGAGTTCCAAGTGTTCCTATCCATTCAGGACAGGCTTAGAAATTATGCATATTATTGAAAAGATGTATTCACTAGTATGACTGATTTCTCCCCTCTGTAACAGGAAGCTAAAAAGCTATTAAAGTGGAATGAACCTTAAAGGAAAAGATATGAAGGAAGATATGAAAACACTCAGTTCTATTCCAGCAAATTCACAAGTTGATGTTACAAATATGTACATAAACATGATAGAAGACACAGAAACTTCACTTATTTTAATCAGAAATATCACAAATTACTACCAGAGAAGATCAGATACCAATGTGATTTTAATTAAATCAGATAATAATAAGAATCAATGAGCATATATTGCTTTAATAGGAGAAACAGGACTGAACTGATTTGCTTAGGATAACTCATTTCTCTTTACCTATTTTAGTAATTATGAGGTTATCCTAAACAATACTGACTTGATTTCTTGATATATTTTTATGCACAACTTCTGACAGACTTTATGGATTTCATATATTAGACGTGGCTGTACAAAATTTTGTTCTTTAATGTCTGGCTGTTGTACTTAGCCATTAAGTATAACAATAACAGGTATCAAAGATCTTTTAAAAAATACTAAACAAACCAAATTTTCATAATATTTGTCCATAAAATGTGTCTTAAAATGCACAGTATGTAACATACAGAAGGAACAGTTTAGAAAAACATAAACGCAGGAGGAAAAAATGCCAAAAACGTACTTTTCCAAATGTGTTGAACCCAAACCAAGGGAAATATCCAAGAAATTACGCCAAGATGCTTCTGAAAATAGGAGAGAAAGCAGTGCCCTCTTCTGGTAAAGTTCTGAGCAAGTCACAATTCCAAGGGCTTTTAACATCTTCTCTGTTACTTTCCCTATACCTGGCACCTGAAAAAGAATAAGTATCATTATTTTGGAAACTTTCCATTTGTATGTCTAATACCAAGAGCAACTTAAGTCAAACACAACAGGGCAGATTACCTAGAAAAGTGTATTTCTTCAGTGGATATTTTACTTTTAGTAGAAAAGGAACATACACGATTGCATCAAAAATATAATGGTATCTCTTACCTTTCTAATGGGCAAATCTTTCAGGAAGTCTAGCACTGCTTGTCTCTCAGGAGTAATTCTGAATTGCCCATTAGGTTTATTACAATCACTGCACATTTTTGCTAACATTGTGTTCGGTGCTATTCCTTTAAAACAAAGAAACAAAACCTGTATTTTTAAAAAATACAAGACTATGTTTAATTTCAACTGTCCAGTATTTAAAAACACAAGAGTGGCCTACACATTTGGCAAAGACAAAGCATAAGCTTTGAAAAAGAATGACGGTAACTGATAACCAGATTTGTTAAAATTCTGCAAAAATATAATAGTCACGTGAGAACTTAAATACATGTGGTAGACTAAATATAACTAATGCATCAGATGAAGTGTACCTACTATTTTAAGACAGCCAGGGTAACACAACATGCATTAATCAGGCACGAGGGGTTAAATACCAAATGCTTAAAAGTAACATCAGTTACATGATTGACCAATTTTATGATGGTGATATGGTAAGACAAAACAACAGTTATAATGAATTCTTAATAAGAAAGAGATATTTCTTCCTTGTATTTCAGCAAAAAGACTTAACTAATTTTGACAAAACTCACCAAATTAAAGTCTTTTGTGGGCTGCCACTGCTAAGTAGTAATTTAGAAATATATATAGTTCATGTTTCTGAATACCTGCACTAGCAGTTAGTTGAGTTTTCTGCTCAATCCTAAAGCGAATTTCTTTCACAACCTCCTCTGCAGATGTTCCAAAGACAACTGAATTTTCCACTGATTGATGTCTTTGTGGGTGGTTATCCACTAGAGGTGTGTTATCTTCAAACAGTACCGGTGAAGAAGAGTATGCATCGTCATTAGATTTGGCAGACATATTTATATAATCTTTACCTATGTTAGACAGAAACACAAACAATTAATCCATTCATGTAAAATATATACTTTATTGATTTTCTTCTGCAGCGGCTGAAGAGAGTTCGTTAACAGTTCTATTTTTTTGTGTTTGAAATAAAAATTATTTAGTCAAAGCAATCATGTTGCTTTTTTGTTTGAAGAGAGTCATAACCACTTTGATCTAAATATTATTTGAGCTTGGCTGACATTGGAAGAATTGGCTAGCAGACTAGACATAGATTCCATAAAAGCAAAAAGGTTTAATGACCTGTTGCTGTAGAAGCAGAAAAACATCAAAATTCTGGCATTATTTTTATTTCATATCAGAGTGAAGGCCCGATGCTCTCTTCTTTTTTTTTTTTTCTGGCGGAAATAAAAATCTTACACAGACCTTTTTTCAATATCCTACAAAGAAAATTAGGGTTCTGGAATATCTGGTTCTAGAACCATCAGCCTGGTGAGCTGCTTGGTTTTAACTGCAGTTATGGTAGAACAAGTATTGTCAGCAGCCCTTTGTCTGACCCTACAAACTCCAGTGCTACAGTTTCACATTCTGAGTGCTTGTTTGTGTTTCAGAAGAACAAAGATGTCAGAGAAGTGTGAAGAGGCACACGACTACATGTCAGTGATATTTATTTTGTAAAGACTATGCTAGCTTGTTTCTTTTGATACTATTAATGCTTTTCAGTAGTAGCGTGTCCTTGATTATCCTCTTAATGGCTATTTAGGTAATATAAATATTCTAGTTTGTGCATCAATCAACTATTTGTATGACTCCTCTATTTTATTATTCCTGACTGGATATACAGTTGTGGATGTGGTTCCAACTCCATCTTCTGGAGCCAGGTGAAATCCAGTCATATCTTAAGCATTACTGTAACTCCTGCAGTGCTCATTACTTTACACATTTTTAGTCTTGTAAAATAACAATCTAACTAGAGCTTATGCACACTGTCTTTGCAGACAATTTATCATGTTTCTGATGTACACAACTCACTATAGTATTTTAGGAAATAACTTTGCAAAATACAAATAACCTCTAGAAGAGTAAGTTAGTTTATTCTATACCTCCTTATGTCATAAGATTATTACTATTTATTTGCAAAATTATCATACTGAATTGTAAAGGAAAAATACATACCTAAACCAAACAATTTAGTTTAGTAAACTTAGTACCATTTTTCACACATTTTACGCAAGTTAAAACAAAAAAATCCTCCTAGTCCAAATCATCAGCAGCATAGCCTTTATGCACCGGTGAATAGTAGAGGAAGTTAACCTGTAAACTAACAAATTGGACTTAAAGAGTATATGGGAAGACAAATTAAGCAAGGACTTCAGTATCTACACTTTCAGTGAGAGCAGCCTACCTGAAGCTTATGTTATATGCATGTGTGACTGCTGCTCCCAACCCCTGGTAATGTGGTTAGCATTACTAACACCATTTTAGAAAGGAAGCAGCCATCCTCTGGGACTGAGCACGTCACATATTTGCTCTCTTTCCCCTCATTATCAGGCCCTGAAGGTCCTGTGCACCAAGTAGACAAATCAAACAGATTTCTTCTTCACCTCCCTTCGTCTCAAGGTACCTGAGTGCCAGGTCAATTACTCTCTTTACCAGCCCTGAGGGTCCCAGGCACTCGGTCAGCCATGTTGTTGATGACCCCACCACAGAACTGGGCAGTGTAACAGCACCCAGAGCACTGTCTGTAAAACCAAGCAGTTACAATTCCTAAGGGGAGGCCTGGACCAGAAGTGCTGCTGGACAGGCTGGGACCCCCAGGTGGCCAGGGACATCTCCACCATTGTCTGCTTCCTCTGAGGACTGAGGGGGTTATTCGTATTCTTTTATGTGAGTCTCAAGTCTAGATTATGATTGTTATATTAATACAGCAAACCATGCATTAAGATTTGACCTGATCTGCAGAGGGTCCAGGTGATTAGAAATTGTAAGTTAAGATGTATTATGAATTCTGTATTATGCTACTTATAGATTGTAGTACAATGATTCTGCTTGTAGAAATCCTGTGCTAATCTAATCATAAATTCTGTCCTATACTAACCATAACTTCCTGTTGAGAAAATAAATCTTAAATTTTAACTACAATTTAGCGCTGTTACCATTCTGGCAAGGATGCCTAAAAGAACTTGCCTGTCTCCTCAGTGTCACGTGACCAGATGAAAAGATTCGCTTACCTTTTTCCATAGTGCTTTCTGTGTTATAAAAGAATCTTCTCTTTTCTTCAGGCCAGTTCACTCTTTCTTCCAAGTGCTCTGTTATGTTCAGATAGGCTTCATCTAGGCCCATAGGCATAAAATTGGGATCATATTTGGTCAGTATTTCTCTAACCTTGATAAACACATAATGAAAGTTTAAAGCCTTGTTGCTGTAAGAGCAGATCTTGACACAATTATAAGGTGGGCAAATATACTCTGAAACTTCAAGATGACCAATGAACATTAAAGATATTTCTAGAACAAATTACTTATCGATACTGGAAAATTATAGTACTGCTTCTCACAAGTAACAAGATATCACTAATAAGAGAGAACTAGACAGATTTTGAGCAGTGTATTATACTGCAGAGGTCATTAACATTAACCCAAATCAGCCTGAACCTTTACTATTTTACCCTATGCTGTGTACTTGCAGCTTCCTAATAATAAGATTGTGCTCCATGGTTTTAAAGTTTTAAGAATAAGGCTCAAGTGGTATCACTAGCTTACTACACAGTTTTGAAAAATCTATCAGCATCACTACTGACTTTATTAAAATGGCAAATGAATTAATCTTTTCTGGCTTGCCTGAAAGCACCGATGTTTTGTTTAACTTACGTTCAAAGCCACATCACTGAAGAGTTTAATATTTAAACTTTTCATATTATCTAGAACTGATCTATTGACAGAGTCTAAAACCAAGTACACTGAATTGTGGTTAGGAAGCACTTTCAGACTTACCTCTTTACTCACTTGGCCGTATTTTTCAAAGTTTAATGGTACTATAGTTAGATGTGGACATAGCTTTTTAGCAATAAATCCGGGCATGGCTGCACGTACACCAAATCTCCTAGCGTGGTAATTTGAGGTAGACTTAGGAGAGATTAAGTAAATTTAGTGTTCAGTAATCAAGTTTTCCTTGTAGTTTTAAATAATCATGTTGTAATCACATATCTCCACACAGAAAAGACTGACAAGGCTGAGAGTTTATATGCATTCCCCTCCCCCAGCCACACCTTCAATCTGTTTACATCCTTTAAACTTTCAACAGAATGCTTTCTAGTGAAAAACAAAATCTGGCTTACATGTCTAGTCTAAGAACAGATGTTTCCTCTATTATTTTTACTATTTAATTTTTCCATGCTTGTAAGAATTGTCTATATAACAGTGTCATTATATTATGTTATTATTGTATGGTTTATTAGGCTTTAGATTCATGTAATTGATTTCTGTATTAGCTTGACATTCGGCCTTACCAACATACTCATTGATCCCACTGCTATCGGCTTCTCCTTCAGCTCTGGATTGTCTCTCATTTCCACAGCTGCATAGAAGGCATCCATGTCAATGTGTACAATCGTATTGCTAAGGTTACGGCTCTGTTCCAGTTCTACCACAAGTTTGTCTACCTGATCAGAATATATCAGTCAGCAAAAAAAAAGTGTGGTATCACCCTCTAATGACAGTTATCACACCTTATGGCAGCTGACTTAACAGTTACTACATTGGAAATGAAGATTACTGCTATTTGAGCAAGTGGCATAAAGATTTCAAACATGGGGTTTGAAACTTAAGTCCCAGTAAGACCCACATGAAAGAATTTCTCTTTCTAAAGCTTCTTTTATCTTCTATAGAAAGTAATTTTCAGACAAAACATTATGAAGAATCAAGTTCAGAAAAAGACAGCACGAGGGCAGTCAAAGCAATTCAAATTTATTGGCTTTCACTATATGCACTATATATTCTTTAATTACACAACCATATGTTAGTTTCATAAGATCTGTCATTCATGTAATTCATTTTATAAGAAAGGCTGTTCTCTGTAAAATCAAAAGTTCTGTGGCAACGGAAAGATGGAAATTGAAGTACTTATTCATAATTAAATGTCTTAAAAGCTACCCCAGAAAACTAAAAAAAAACCAACCCAAAACCCAACCAAAAACCCAACCAAACAGACAAGTAGAGACATAACTGATCCATGTTAAACATTAACTAAGAATAAACGAGGCATTCAGGGTTATAACAAACTTTTCAGAGGTACTCAGTAATTGCAGGCTTTTCTGGGCATGAATTTGAGACACTGTCATCTAATTTACAGAAGCTATTTGCAAATCTGCAATGAACAAAAAAATATTGTACACCAAAGCTCAGGACCTGTAATCCTTACAGTGGTATTCAAAAGCAATGGATGTGTTTAATCTTCATGCGCTTCAGCTCCTCATTTAAAATACCACTCCACTTTGCTGGAGTATTGCAAGAATAATTTAAAGAATTCACAACATAGAAAAGCCTATGAGGAAGTCAGTGATTGTGCATTCAAAGCTGGATTAGTCTAGTGTACAACAAATAAAGGTTGGGGCCACCCACTGAACAATGAGGACAACAGTAAATATTGAATAATTGTCCACTCAGTGAACACTGTCTGCACTGTGCTCTGAATGAAGCCAGAATCCTGTCAGAGAAAAATAGCAAGCAAACATGTAACTAAGTCTGAATCACAGTAGAAATAAAAAGGAATTAACCTTCTACAAGCATCTTTAATTCTGTTGCACCTAAGAATGTTTAGTGTACTGTTAAATTCTTTTAACAACCTTTCATACACAGTAACAATATGGACACTTATCTATCATTAGCATTTGAGAAATGAAATAGCCTCTTTGCCTTTACAGTTCAGGGCAGTTTTATTTATTGTGACTGCTTGCCATGATATTTTTTTTCCTTTAATTAGTATAAATAAAGAATAAATTCTATCCAGAAGAGTTGACAACTGTTATCCCCTCATCCCATTGCAGGCCATTGAACATAAAAATACATATATAATAAAAACAGAAAGTAAACTCAAGACTGGTATGATACTTACTAACAAGGGATTTAACAAAACTTTTACATAAACCGTAATGGCATCCCTTTAAGCTGATCAGACTTAAAAGAACAGGAATTATTTTGCTTCATTTTACTCATGTAGCGAACATTTTGGAGTGATTTTACAATCTATTCTTCTAGCAAGTTCTTATTAAGATGACATCATCAAAACATTGCACACTTTTACTTGCATGACTAATATCAAAATGGTAGTTAACATTGTGCATATCGCCAGAATTTGATGCAGTAACTACAACACATCAAAATGTTTATCATTCACCATTTAATCCAAAAAGTCTTTACAAGATTAGTACCTGCAGCTGTGCTTTTGAGAGCTGTTGTGTTGTAATGTTCTCTTTTATCTGCATCATTTTATCAATTCGTTGGTTAACTTGTTGATCTTTTTTAAGTTCATTTTCATAAAATCTAGAACCCTGGAAGAAAATTGCAAAAGCACTACGGTTTTTATTCGTCTTTTCCTATAAACAACCTCATTTGAACTTAAAATACAGAAAATGTAAAACACAGTAACAGTTTCTAATGCATAATTTGGATTTTCATATAAATGATACACAAGAGAGACCAGTGGTACTATACGTCTCTCTCCTCAAATGACACAAATATACTTTTACTTTTCAGATCTCCTATACTCAGATGATGACTATTTAGAGAACTTTCTATGTTTACTAGTTCTAACATCTGACAACAAAAATTCCAAAATAGTAGATTAAACTCAACGTAGCCTTTGCAATACCTCTAAGATAATGAGTATAAAACTCTACATAAATTTTATCTAAGCATTTTGACAGACTTTCATATAGTTCAATCTACATGGAAGTAAGTAATAACATTGTATAAGTCAAATCCACTTACAATGTTGAGTATTTCATGGACCATTTAATCTTAAAGGACACTGCAGAACTAGAAGCTATTTGGAAGAAGATTATGAAAAGTAAGGGTATGAAAAGCCCTCTCGCTCTCAAGTATGTAATTGATCCTTTAAGAAAAGGAATTAATAAAAGGACATATGATGAAAACATGAAAAGACAATCATGTGGAGAATATATGTGACTTCCCTTTCTGACTCGTAACAAAGAAAAAAGGGCATACAATGAAATAAAAAAGAGGAAAATTCAAAACCAGGAAATATTTTTCTTGCAACATCTGCTTAGCATACAAGAGAAATAACATCTGCAGGAAGAGGTGATGTCTTTTATTGAACCACCTGATAAAATCTGCAAAAGTGGAAAAATTTTTAGTTCAAAGCCTCTGACTACCAAACTGTCACTGATGCCAGTAATTCAGCCATAGTAAAATAAGAATCAGGCATTTATATAAAAGCAAAAATAGCTACTTCTATAATAATGATAAAAAGGATGACTAGCACGACTGTAATGTGTCATATCTCATTGCTCAGAAGAAATTTCTAATCAGAAGAAATTAGGGTGTGTTTTCTTTCAATAACAGACATGTATTTCATTTTTTCTCCCCTCTGCAATCAAACATGACTTGTTGAGACTCTCTGAAAGAAGTACCAAAATGTTGGTGTGGGAAGACACCCAATATTTAAGATTGTTAAGATTTTATGTATCATGCAGTTTTTCACAGTGAAAAGCTATAACATCTTGTTGTAATACAACTGTGAGTGGTATTTTTAGGTGTAATTTTCAAGACTAAAGAAAGCTTACAAAAAAGAATCAATGCTTCCTTACAGATTTCTCAAGCTACATGTAGCATTTATATTCTCTTGCTTTTTCAGACAGAAATATATTCTAGTACATAGATGCCTGTATATCACTTTTGAAAGCCTATTCTACAGTTCATTCTATTTCATACCAGGAAATAAAACAGTAACTGTTCTGATGAAAGAATTTATCCAAATATCATTATTATATGTCTGACAAAGCACTAAGTTTTCAAGAAAGACTGAACAGAATAAGTAGAAGAAACATCTAGTCAGTAAGGGGCTTGACAGCATATAAAGTATCATCAAAATGAAAATGAAAGCAAAAAAAGTGTGTCAAATAAGGGCTCTTTGTGGTAAGTTTTCTGCTTCCTCACTCCCACCCCTGCAGTCTACCACAGAGCAATAGTAGTCATCCTATGATTCTATAATTTATGAGCAAAATATCAAGCACATAACCTAGGGCCATAGCAACACCAACTGAAATGCACATTTGTGCAATAAAAAGTAAGAAAACCCAGAGTTGCTCAAATACAGTGTTCTACTCATATAGTTCTATGCGAAGATTCTACAGTAACAAGTAAGAGAATTAATATTTCAAAGTTTTGTAGATTTGTGGGGTCCTCTGTGGAACTTTGATACAAAGGTGCACACTACTGGCCACCTCTCCTGCATACTGAGAAGACAGTCAAGAAGACAGGCAGTAAGCACAACGGAATTCTACTGAAAGTACTAGAAAAATCTGATTACATCAAATTAATCAGCTACAGGAAAATGACCAGTACAGGTAAATCTGCTTGGCTGATTAATGATGGGGCAGGCAAAAGGAATGGGAAACAGGAGAAAAAAAAGAGGCCTAAGGAAGCTGAAACCTTCGCAATAACCTCTGGACAATGCTGAGATATTTATGTACCGGTTTTGGCAATAAGGAAGCACCTAAGGAGATACTCACTTGTGTTCCATATCCCTGTGGATGAATTCAACAGCACTCTATGGTACAGTCCCTCCCCTTCTTCCCTGCACATGCATTTCTTCTTAGAAGCTGCCCTCCATTTACACGTGAGGGATAAAATTTGGGAAAGGGAGGAAGAGAGCCTTATGATACTGGACAACAGAGCACCAGGAAAACCAAACCAACCTTGGTAGCTTCCATGATGATTTTATTGATTTTCTCTTTATCCAAACCTTGCATTCCT